GACGACGGACAATCACTCATATGATAAGCTCCGCTCGACAAAGTCGACAGCGGAGCTAAAAAGAGGTGCTTTGATTCCATTTTGATTCATCAGTTGGGGAGAGAGGTCCATCCTTGAATAGGTCTAACAGTTTTTATTCTGTTTGTAATGTGCTGAAAGCATGTTTTGATCTATGTAGAACAGACTTTCACCTTTCCCAAAAAGAAGAGTGGATCGAGTTCTGAAAATCTTTGCTGCTTCAACTGAGTGCGTATTGAGCAATGTCATTCCAGTGAATATCCTGAATTTGCCTGAATATGAAAACTAAAAAGTACTAAAGAACACAAGAAGAACTCCAAGTCTGGTGGTAAATAATGTCTGTAATCTATCAATGAAACACAGTTAAATGAAGGAGTACAAACTGTCTCGTCCCTGTCTTATTGACAGTATCCAACAATTCTGTGTTAAATCATGTAAATACCACAAATGTTGTGTTGACCACATTGCATGCAGTATGTACCGGTATTCATATCTGGCTCCAGAATGAAGTCCATTTTGGTCTTCATTTCTGGTATATCATAAACATGTTCATTTATGGTTCAGGGTAACCCTGTTGTGTTGACATGGTAAAATGTTTATTGCATTATACACCATTGTCTTATGTGGCAGTTGTGTTGCTTTCATAGATTCGTCTGCATGTATGCTCCATGATAGGAACTCAACATTATTTGTCTAGCTCAGACAATACCTAAACAATACAAATTAGTGGTAGTAATTGGTTAGTAATGATATAAGTTAGAACTTCCATATCCCCATGAAAATCTCACATTATCAGGTATGTTTGGCTTCAACAGGGAATGAGCAAACTGAATTATTGAAATAGGTTCTCTTGTGATGCACTTGAATGTATTGTATTTATTCTGGTTTTCCCCATCCATGAAATTTCTGATTTTGTTATTATAGACTTTTACAGGCCAGAAACACCATTTGTTTAGTTTATATAACATCTATACAATACAAATTAGTGTAAGTGACTGGCGGAGAATAATAAACAATAGGACTTGCGAGATTGTGTTTTTTTTTAAATTCTGATTAAATTTTCTAAAATTTATTATTCAAATGAATATTTCACCCCAGACAACGATAAGTGAGCGCATGAATTCGTACCTCTCATAGTCTTCTTTTTCCCATAACATACGACGATATCATCTAGATTAAGAGACAAATCAACTACAAGGATATAAATTCCCATCGGAGCCATGAAAATCTAAAAAGTCATTCAAAATATATTGTATAAATAAATATAATTATGCCAGTATACATTTTGTGTTACAATCAAATCTAACTATTTTGAAGTTTTATTATGAAGAATTTATAGTTATGCATATGTTAGTGTAGACTACACAATTTTAGAATACAGGACATTTCTAGCATCTGCCTCCAATATATAGCGTGTCCAATAATTATGCAAATTAAGATACTGTTTGCAATATGTATGCAATTAGAATCTTTATGCAAATTAGGATGTGTGTTCACTAACTATAACAATTAATGATGGTTTGCAATAATTATGCAAATTAGTATACAGTGAGCAATATACTCATGAAAATACACAACACTATCATAAAAATAATTGTCATACCAGAGCGAGGCGAGGTTTTCATATTGCAGAGATTTCCATATTGGCAGCAATGTTACAATATTAGACACAATATAAATTATGTAATGCAATTTTAATGCAACTAACCTGATAAATTTCGTGCACACCAATATCAAACAACTTGAAGCAAAAGCCATCTTTTTCTGTATCTTCAACAACTTTCAATCAAATAATAATATAAAATATGAATCAAAGAAATCAAAGTTCAGAAAGAACATAATAACAATTAATATGCATAGTTTCAACTCTGAAATAATCAGAACTGTGCATTATTTGAAAGCACCTACATGTATGTACTTAGGGTCATTTAGATTTGAGCAGTGATACTCAAGATATCTGCGGACTACCTATAAATTAATCAATTTATGCAAATTAGGTGGTTTAAAATTTAACCCTAAACTGAAAATGTATATTAGCATATACATGTCTATGTACCAAGTTTTGTTGAATCTGGTTAAGATATTGATGGTAAAGTTAAATATTGGCTAATTCATATGCAAATTAGGTCATTAATATACATGGATTTCAACAAATCTATGTATCATATTTCATTCGGATCTGTTGAATGGTACTTGAGAAACAAATGAAACGCTTAAAATTGGCTAATTATTATGCCAATTTGGTCATTAATATGCATGAATTCCCTCCCAAAACGAACAAGCAGCCAGTCGACTGAGATAGCTTCGCTGTTAGCAATGCACATTTCAATTAAAGAACAGAAGATATCATTAGAAAAGAAGTCAAAAATGTCACTTTTCACCGACAATGACAATAATAATCATCAAAATTAAATAATTGAAAATATCACCACGAAATTAACAAATCTGAAATAGGTCCACGTGTAGTACATATCTATGTAATATCAAAGCAATTGAACTTGTGGTTTTTAACAAGAAGTCGAAAATATCACTTTTTACTAAAAATGAAAAA